TACAATGTAAGGGAGGGAAAGAGGCTGCTTGCTGTCATTCTTCCATTTTGCTCTTGTTGCTTTGCTGTTCTGCCACCATGAACATTTGCCCTCTGCCGTGTGCTACTCTGCCTTGGAGCCAGCCAACTATGTACTGAAATCTCCAGTACATAGCTAAATATGTGAGCTAAATAAACCTTTCCTTCCTTAATTCTGGGCGGTGGGTATTGTGTCTCAGCAATGAGAGAAAAGTACCTAAGACAGCTGTGTGCTACTTTATAGAACTGAATGAGGCAAACCTGAGGTGACTTAGGGCTGCCCGTCTTCCTCATCCTTGCCCAGGCTTCTTTTTGAAAAGGCTCTGTATGGCTGATATCAACTGCATCCCCTTCCTCAGCAAAATCCTATGTAGAGATTATGGTCACCAAAAAAACCTTAAAACATGGTGTCTTAGTAACTTTTCATGTTGCTGAGACAAAATATCCAACACCCAAGGTTAAAGGATAAAAGGTTTATTGTAGCTCACAGTTTGTAGAGGTTTCAGTCCATTGCTGGCTGGCTCCAACCAGCCGAGGCAGGGTGGCACAGCATCACAGAGGAGAGACAGCTCGTGGCAGGCTGAAGGCAGCAAAGCAGTGAAGCAGAAAAGAAGCAACAAGCAACAAGTGGTGACCCTCTTTCTGTCCCTTATTCCACAGAGGGTGGGGTACCCTTAATCCTACTTGGAACTATGCCAGTCAAATTAGTGGACTGATTTAGTAATCACAAACCCTTGGTCCCAGCATCGCACACCCTAGATCCAGTCACCTCTGAAAAGCCCCACATATGGCTACATGAGGCTTTGGGTAAACATCTAAATACAAGCCATAAGAGGGTATAACATCCTGAAAAGGGCATAGTATTTGAGGCCAGACAGATGAGGATTCAAAATGCATAGTACTAATAACTATGTTACCTAAATGATCTTTATAGGTCTCTTTTCTCATCAGTAAAGTAGAAAAATATTATGTAGTTCACTGTTGAAAATTCAATAAAGGAATATATGTATAAAATTGAGCACATAATAGATGCCATAAGTGCAGTATTTACAAGATATTTATTGATCATTGTCTACTAAATAGTTCTGGGCTTTCTGGAAGTAAGAAAAGAGATGTCAGAAGGGCAGGGTAGGGGCACAGGAAGATGGGAGTGATATGTCACAATGAAACTCATTACTCTGTGTAATTAATATGCACTAATAAAAAAGAAACGTGGAAGACTGTTCCAAGTAGGCAAAATAAACCTAATAGAAATAGGAATTTGCATATAAAAATTGAAATTTCACCAAAAATTGAAACACAGAAAGATATTGAATGTTATAACCAACACATCTCTAGAGCAGATGGTGAAATAAGGAGCTTGTGTTAGAAGGTAAATCAATAAACTGTTTCTGCCAGGAAGACAGTCTTTTTATGAAGAAAAAAGTCAGCTAAACTACTCAGTGTGCTTTATGGACCAGGTGATTTCTATTCTGGCCAAACGTGTTCCTTCTCGCCACCCTGATATCAAATACTTATCCCTTCTATCTTTGGATCACTCTTAGAATTCCTTTCTTCTACAAGTCTGAAGTGGGAGTCTAGGAGTCTCTTTTCTCTGTTTTGGACCATATTTTTAGATCTTCCGCAGGCAATAAGGCATAATGTTAAGAAAAAATAGTCTATTAAATGGTTTCACATTCTTTGCCTCATGTCAAACACAGTAACTGCGGAGAGCTGTCTGCTTGACGATGAGCACAGTCTGATGACGTGAGCCAGAAGTGGTCGTTTTCATCATCAAGAACAATGGAAATGGTGGCAGTGGGTTCTCCAGGAACATTTCTGGGGCCCGTTGGTCTTATTTCTTTTGTGTGTCAGGGGCTCTTTTGGCACACAGTGACATGTAGGGACCATATTTCAGAAGGGTGCTTTTAATCTTTTTTTTTTTGCAGTACCAGGAATCTAACTCACAACCTTGTGCTTGCCAGGCAGGCGCTGTGCTGCTGAGCTAAATCCCCAGCCCCTTTTAATCTTATAAAATAAAATCCATAGCATGTCAAAGGGAACTAGACTAAGATATACGTATCAAAATGTTTTGATAGTTACATATGTGTTTTGATAGTTACATATGTGTGATAGTTAACACATCAAACAATAAAATCTTGTGGCATGTCTAAGAACTAACATCATTTTGAAGACGTGGTAGATATAAATGAAATGTTAACAGTAACTCTAGAGGGTTATTACATTCTGTGTTTTCATAGTGAACAAAGTCAGAGACTGCTAACACTACTGCTAGCACTTACGTTATCATTGAAGGGAATGCCAGAATTTCAGTTAGAAGTTAGTGAAAATAAACATGTATTTTTTATTCATCCAAGTTCAAGGACCCCCTGCACTGTCTAGTTAAGAGCTCAAATTAGGAATACCAAACAAGGGGTGAGGAGAGGAAGTTCTGATCCTGTTTATATTTTTCCTGGAACAGATATTTTGGACTTACAATAAAATCTTGTTTTAATTTCAGTACCTCATGAAATGCTATTGTAATTTCTTTTCTGCTTTATTTGAAGCAAAAGGGAGAAAGTTTTCCTCCTAATCTCTTGATGCAGACTTACATTTCATGAAGGATTCAACATTTCCTCAGGAAGAGGATTTGCATAAGATACTTATCCTCCCAATGACTCAGATCCCAAATGGTGACTCATACCACTTCAGAAAAAGCTCTTGCTTGTGGAGATACTCACAGCTGTCCTATAAGGAGAAGAATTTGCTATACAAAGAAGCTACACAGTTTGGGGCCAGAGCACAAAGTTGAAAGATTCCTTTAGGTAGGGGTGGGAGCTGCCTTAGTGGGAATAGTGAGCTCAGGTCCCTTCGACTCAAGTGTAGATATCTAGGAGAAGGGCTTAGGCCAGTAGGTGTGGCGGAAAACTGTCATGGATTTTCAGTGATATCCAGGAATGTGGGATATTATTGGCACAGAGGAATCATCGATGTTTTTTCATAGAAATGGAATAAATTTGTGAGTTAGGAACATTTACACAGCCAAAATGTATTTCATAGAATGAGAGTGCGACGAAAATGTGAGCAGTAGTTTTAGGGTCAGCCGACAAGACTGGATGGAGAGAACTATACCTACTCTTTCTATCCTAATGTTTCCTATAATTGCCTAAAGTTAGGATTCACCTGGATTGTAATTGTACAGATTACCAAGATCCCCCCTACAACACTCCACAGGAGCATTTGTTTGCTCCTATCTAACTTGCATGTAAAAGTGTTAAAGTTAAAATTGCTCTGGACAAAGTGCAATTTTTAAAGAAACACAGGAGACTGTTCAGAGCTATTCTAATAAAGATCAGATGCCAGAACTTAGCCTGAACTTAACTCCACTGAAACACAGGCTGAGCAAGTTCTTAAGAGCTGGAATGAACTACCGGAAAAGTACTGGAGGACATGAGGGGAGAGACTGGTCGATGGGATGTGTCAAGCACATTGATTTACTTTTGCAAATCTCTTTCTCTGTGATAAGGCCACCTGTGTTTGCTAATTGGCACTTAATCAGAATCAGCCTCCTATCTTCTGAGGGGGTGCTTTCTTCCTTGTGATATTTCAAAAGGATAGCTCTAGGTCCTTGAGAAGAAGTTCTAGATTGCAACATCACAGCAGTATGGGAGAGGATTTACATCTAAAAGTGTCAAAAATAGTTTATAACTGCAAGTTTTCTACAGAAATGCTCTAAGGAAAGGAATACCAAGGTCTTATTGTCAGGAAGAAATTTGTCTGAAGTTTAGTCAACCTGAGGTCATCTTGGTCAAAGGTAAAGTTATTGCCATGGCTACTACCATAACTACAACTACTGTTATTATTATGGTAAACTACTCAATAGAGAACAGAAAGGGAAAGTAAATGTTAGGACTATCAGAAAATAAAAATCAATATGATTTCCTAATTTAAGATTTGGAATTGGAAGGTAGATGCAGAAGTGGGAACAAAGATGTTGAACCTAGAAGTTGGGAAAATGGAGATCTGTTGATAGAAATGGAATTTCCAGGTGGCTGCTGGGAAGCTGGTGTCAAATAACCCAAGTCAACTTAGGCCTAACTCTTCAGCTCCTTTGGGAGAAATGGTACGCTATAGGCAGCACTGGTGGTTGATGAGAGTTAGGGAAAACAGTAGCTCTGGTGGACAATTCCTCTGTTCTGTGGTCTTTTCTAATAGAGCTCTGCAGACCAGCTCTGCCTTCACCTCAAACACACACACACACACACACACACACACACACACACACACACACACTGAAGTATATTGAAGTAAGTTATAGTCATTTTTGTAACTCAGTGCTAATGGAAAACTGATGCCTTTCTTTTACCCCTAGTTGCATTAGAAATTTGTCAGAAAACTTGAGTGGGGGCTAGGGGTCAAGGCTTTTAGAGATTAAGGGCTGGGGATATAGCTCAGTGGCATAAGCACCTGCCTGGCAAGCACAAGGCCCTGAGTTCGATTCTTGGTACAAAAAGAAAGAAAGAAAGAAAGTTTTAGAGATAGCTGGAGAATGATATCTAAAGAAGTGGCAGCTGGAGTCATGGGAGTAGATGAGATTTTTCACTAAGTTCCTGGGGGTGTATGACATTAACATATCTGACTTCATTTTCTCAAGAGCATAAGTGTAAAAAGGGATGAAAGAGGGAAGGAGAAATATATAAATTCGTAGTCTTATTAAGCAGCCGGTGTTAGCTATTCCAGAGAGGTCTGTGGTGCTAGGAATCATAAGATATGATCAGTTTGCTCACGGAACACTGGCTAGGGGAGAAGGCCAGTGCAGTATTCTGGGGGAGTTGCATATAGTAAGAATGAGTGGGAGTAAAAGAGCCAGGAGTACAGATGGCTCTTTCAGGAAGCGGGGCCTTAAAAGAAATTGAAGGAAGAGCAGAAAAGTATTATAAGATAAAGTTACTGGGGATGTGTGATATTCATGTGTCTTCTCTCCCGTTACTCTTTTAGTGATCAAAAATGAGTGACGGGGCACATAAAAACAGTCCCACTCAAGAGGGACACACCGAGCAAAGTTCTTCAGAGAAAAACTGTCAAATCGGACAGAAGCAGCTGGTATGGCAAATGGGTTTTGTGACTCTAGTATTTGCTGAGCTCCCAACTTGGGGATTTCTGAGATGCTCCTGGGTTTGGTGGGAGGACAGGCTCAGTCAGGACACCACAGAGAGGATCTTTGCTCTCAAGCTGATGGGGTGGTCTCATCTGACATAGTTCCTCCTTGCTGCTTAATTTTTAGCTACGTTCCTTAATTTTCAGTGTTTGTTTTTGTTTTTCATGCTTGTTTTGAAATAGTGTCTCACTACATAGTCTAGACTGGTTTTGAACTCACTGTGTGGTAGCCCTGGTTGGCCTCAGACTTACAGTGATCCTCCTGCCTCAGCCTCCTGAGCGCTGGGATTATAAGTGTGTGCCATTATGCCTGGCATTTATTGTTTTTTTGCAATAAAATTTCATCATCAGAATGATGACAAATTTGAAAAACATATATTCAAATGTTTTTATTTAACATACTCCTACTTCGTTCTTATTATGTCATGGTTTTAAACTTTGTATATACTGATTCGGATAATATTATAAGATATTGTTGTTAGCCCCATTTAAACCAAGAAATGGAGGTTTAGAGAAATAGGAACCTGGTCAAGGGACCCACTAACAAGTGGTAGAACCAAAGCTCAAACACAGGTAGGCTTACCTTCATGTTTCTGTCTTTAACCTTTTAGAATGCAACACAGAACAGTAATACAACAGACAGTAAGTTTTACTTATTTCATACTTAAATGCAGAGCTATTTCACAAGGCTAAGTTAGTAAAACAAATCCATATACACATATCAATATGAAATTTTAAAGAAATGTATTATTTTATAGTGCCTAGATCTATTAAACTAAATAAACTGAAGAAAAGCCTAGGAGATTCTGCTATTAATTTGCTACATTAAAAGTGTGCCTTTTGTTCCAGGTACATCATTTTCCTGTATGTGTATCAGCCTGTACGTTTTCAGGCTACTCAGATTATTTTCTCCTAAAATCCTTCAAAAACCCATTCTCTCACCTTGTGACCTGCGTGCTACGCTAAAAACAAGTCATCGGTATTTGATGATGCAGTTTTTGCTTGCCTTACCTCTCAGGCCATGTTTAATATCTAAATACTGTACAAAACCCCACAAAGATTTTCAAAAGTTTCCCCTCACACTCTAGAAAGTCATTCTAGCAGGATTATTTTTGTTCGTATCTAGCTTTGACTATGAGTAGACTCTTCAGGGGTTGTGTTCTGAATTAAAGCTCAAGTGACGCCCACAGCCAGGGTAGGGAATGGTTCTGAAACCTATCCCAGAGTCCCAGGAGAGCAGGGCTGTGTGCGCTTTGGATTCTCCCTGTGATCTGAGACACTACATCAGCTAACAGCTGAGGAAGGGCCTTTATTCCCTTGTTCTAACCACCAGAAAGTGCTATTTCTAACGTTCACTTTCTTCCAATTTGAAAAGCGTGCTGGTGTCTTGCAGCTAAAAAGAAGTCTTCTGTTCTCCCTTGATTCTTTTTTATATTTTTATGAAGAGTTTCATACTATATATTTCTTTATTTACAAAGAATTGCTTAATTTGAAAATATTTGCATCATATTTTTAAGTTCAGATTAAGCAGTTTATTTCTCTGTGTAAATAATATCATGCTGTCATGATGAAAACTACAGAGTTCATTTTGAGACAGTGTAAAATGAATAGAATTATTTGACTCTCCCTAATAAAGCATTCTATTTGTTTCACAGCAACAAATAGAGCGGCAGCTGAAATGCTTGGCATTTCAAAACCCTGGACCACAGGTAGCAGACTTCAATCCTGAAACAAGACAGCAGAAGAAGAAAGCACGGATGTCAAAAATGAATGAATATTTCTCTGTAAAGAACAAGTAAGGAAATAATTTAATGTATTTGATTTGTGGGGTTTAGAAGTGCATAATTCTCACTGATAAAGCAAAATAATTTTCTCTTTTATGATTTAAAAATATCTTTTCCAAATTTACAGTAGCACTTTTTAGGTGTGGAAGTTAACAGTTTCAAGAAATAGACTAAGGGCTAGGGTATAGCTCAGGGGAGGAATGCTTGGCTAGCAGGACAGAGGCCCTGGGTTCCATCCTTAGCATTGTAAAAAAAAAAAAAAAAAAAAAAGCTAAACTAGGGAACCCATAAAGAAAATGTCAATAAATCCAACCACAATGATAAATAATAATATGTTTATTACAAGACATTTTTAAAATAGTGAAAGATATTACAAAGTGGGAGAAGTAACTTATAAGAAATCAGTGTCTAAAATTTCTAAAGAATCTTACAAGTAAATAAGATCAATATTACCCAAGAATGAAGAAAATAATGAATAGGCATTTTTATAGGAAGAAAGCTAATAAACATTCAGAACATGGACATTCCTTAGTGCTGTATGAAGAAGGGCCACACTTCTCTGAGGAATCGAAGTTGATGAGGCCAGGGGACATGAACTGAGTGTAGAATGGTATAACCACTCTTTACAAACAGCTTGCTTCTCTTATGTGCCCTGTGACCTCGCATCTTCACTTCCTTCCTATACACTGGAAAAAGACTTCTGTATACAGTAGGGCAGTCACATTCAAGAAGTCTCATAATAGCATTGTAATAGCAAAGAAAATAAAGTGCTAATAATCCAGATATCAATAATGGAAAAAATAACTTGTGAAATAAACAGAGATTGGAAGACATATCAAAGTGAACATATTTGAATGCAACTAAATATACCAACATGGAAGAATCTCAAAGAAAGACTCTTAGAAATTAGAAAAAAAAATCACAGTATAGTTAGGGAGCCACACATATGTGACACAACTCAAAGTAAACGAAGGGTGTGATTTTTATAATATCAAGGTGCAGCTCCTTTTGAGGGTGAGAGATGGATGTAACAATGTGAGTGACAAGAGGACTTCAAAGGTATACTTCTTCATTAAGTGTGTAACCCATAGCTCTGACTCGGAATTTCATGACAGTAGCATCATGTGTGAAGGAAACCATACACACTGTGTCTGCATGTACGAGTCAAGGCAGGGGAATATCTAGGTTCAGGCAAAGGGGAGAAGTACAGAAGCTGGCCTGTGCTCTCCACTTTTTTCATGCCTGTCACTCTTTTTTTTTTTTGGTTTTTCTCTGGTACCAGGAACCGAACTCACGACCTTGTGCTTGCCAGGCAGGCGCTTTTGCCGCTGAGCTAAATCCCCAGCCCCGTGCCTGTCACTCTTGTAGTTAAATTTGAATCTTTTCCGCAGAATTTCCTGGGGGTGGTGAGACAGATCAGGTGAAGCAGTTTAAAAGTAAATCTTCATTAGAAGGCAGTTCTGCTGAAGTATGGTACGCAGGTGGCAAGTACGCATAATGACTGCTTCTCACCTTTCCCTGCTTGTTAGAGACTGCAGGACTTCACTGAATAGGAAGGGGAAAGACAAAGGGTACAGAGGGTGCAGAGTCTGAACACTCCAACAGAGGGCCAGTCTTTTGGACTTCAATTGGTAATAATGGACACAAGCTGTACGCCAATGTGCTATCTAAAGCTACCAAGCAGCTCAGTTTTGAAAGACATACTTTGAAATATGCTTGCTTCGGGGAGTGCGGAACGCTTATGAAAGTCTCTTCCCTTTGCCTGTGTTACTGAGGCTAACAGAGCAAGTGGGGAAGCCACGCCCTGGTCTAGACTCTGGTGCTTTCCTCGGGCACAAAGCACCTTGCCTGCACTGAGAACTCATGATAAGATCCAACTACTTCAGTCACCTGTGTTCTCCATTCACACTGTGAAAAACAGAATCAGAAGGAAGCAGAAGAATGGTGCCTGTAGACTGTTACCAAAAGAGTGGGGTTTTGTTTTTTAATTTTTTAATTGGTCTTCACATGGTTGTGGTACAGTCACTGATAGTTCTCCTCCTGAGTCAGTAAACATGTAGTTGTGTGTAACATAGTACTTTTAGGGAAAAAGGAATGGCCATGTTTTAAAGAAATATTTGTGCCTTTCTCACAGAAAGCTTCAGTCACCTATTCCTCGTGATTTTCTTAGGGGCATTGTGACATTGTCTAGCAATGCTGGAAAAATGAAGTTACTCTCCAGGACAAGCCTGGCTATGCTGGAAATGGCTTGATTGCAGGTTGACTGCATTTCCCATGACATCACTGCCCTTCGCTATTCTGGGGTTGCTAGGTGATCTCAGGTTGCTGTTCTCTCACAGGGAGAGAGCATGTGCAGGGAGTTGCTTCACGGTACTGCGTTCTCAGTGTTGAAGACCACCGTGCTAGCATCTCATTGTCATCCTTTCCCTTGTAGAGTTGTGAAGAAGTATGACAAAAGTGGCAGGCTAATTTGCAATGACGTGGATCTGTGTGACTGCCTCGAGAAGAACTGCCTGGGCTGCTTCTACCCTTGCCCCAAGTGCAACTCCAACAAGTGCGGGCCCGAGTGCCGCTGCAACCGAAGATGGGTTTACCACGCCATTGTCACCGAATCGGGAGACATCATCAGCTCACTGCCATTTGACGTTCCAGACTAGAAGCTGATATGAATGAATTGATTTGTTTCTTCTTTCTATGCGTTTAAGTTAACCATTTTAATCTGGGAAAATTCTGGGTTTAGACAAAATATTGGAAAAAGGTCTAGTTATGATTTGTGTTCTTTCAAGCTGTAGAACTGGCTGTAATTCTATAAACCTCTGTATCTTCTCAGATTCCTTAGCTGCTGTGAAAGGATGTGAATGTAGATGGATCATCTCCTCTCCTCAGTACCACCATCTCAACTCTGCCATCATATTAAAAATCTCTCCCCTCTTGGCTGGTGCTTGAAAATATGTAGTTTTAAGATTTTCAGAACTCTGTAGCTGAGAGCTCTTCTTATATAGAGCTGGTGGTACACCCCTATAATCCCAGCACTCAAGAGGCTGAGGCAGGAGGATCGCCATGATTTCAAGGCCATCCTGGGCTACACAGTGAGTCCAAGGCCAACCTGAACTATGTAGCAAGACTCTGTCTCAAAAAAAAAGGAATATTATACATCTCTAGTTCCAAATCAGAACTACCATTTGAATGAAAAGTAATCCTTGTATCTTTGCACTGTATAACCCTAGCCTCATTTTTGTTTGTGTTTTAATAACATTAAAATTAAATTTGTTAATATCTGCTAATATTTTCATCATTTGTATTTTTCTTATAAAATTGAGAAAATATTCTAAAAGCCATTGGTTTACATTTTTAATTTCAAGATCAGTATTTCAGGATTTTATTTCAATAGGAAAAAACCAGTAAATATACAAAAATGGTTTACTGTCAAGTGTATTGATAAGTGGGTAGAACCTGAGGTAGTTTTCAGTTCTGATGCATTGCGGGAAATGGAGAGAAAGTTGAATTCAACTTTCTTCAGTTTCTTTTTTATGGCAATCTTTATGTCAGCGATTCTTACAGTTGAATGTGCATCAGAATCACCTGGAGAACTTGCTGATTCATAGTTTCTGGTTCACTAGATTTGGAACAAGGTGCAAGAATTTGTATTTCTATAACTAAGTTAGGGAAAAGGGGAAGGGAAGGAAGGGAAATGGAAAAAATGCAAGTTATTTATACTACTAATGTCTCTTAGCTCATTGAAAAGGAAAGTTTGTGCTAATATCAATTGGAGAAATTCTAATGCCCATATCTTGTGCTCTGAGAAACTACTTTAAAGATAACAATATGCAATGTATTAACTATTATTATTCTCCTGCTATTCTGTTATAAAATTTTGTTTTATTGTTTTTCCATAAAGAAAATAAAATAAAGAAGAATTTGCACTCATAACAAATTCCCCAGTGATGTTGATGTTGTGTGGGAACCACACTTTGAGAGCTACCTCCTTAAGTTACGGTAGATACATACCACAAGGAAATATTTAAAGAACGTAATTTAATAAATTCAAAAGGCAAATAAGAGCATTTGGTTTTAAAACAAATGTGAAATGAGTTTTCAGGGTTTATTTTTCCAACATAAAAACACTTGTTTTTACACAAGATACAGGTGCCAGGGAAAGCTTCTGACAATTCTGGACTTGTTACTTACAATATGTTTTAAGATGAAGGTAACAAAAATCCTAGAAAAACCACACTGTGAGCATAAAACTCCTATTCGTGTAACAAGAGGGCTTAGATGACTTTGTGTCACAGTCTGCAGAATTTAGTGGATGTTCTCGATTCAGCTCGTTTACCAAGCGTCTTCTGGGAGCCACTCCGCTTCCTGCTCTCACTGTATTAGTTTCGACCATCGCAGCCCCAGGATGACAACATGACACTAAATCACTCAAGTTACAGCCCGCGTGATGTTCAGATCTGGGACCAGGAAAAAGGGATGATGACCTTTTTCTGCTGTTATTTTGAGAGCATTGTTATTTTGTGAAGGTATTGCTTTTTTAACTTATTTACTTTGGAATCTAATAATTTCAAAACTGAAAGCATCCCTGCAGCACATCTTTCCTTTTAATCAGCCCTTGCTAGTGGGAAGCTGCTCCGTGCCAGGTAGCAGCTCGGCGCAGGGGAAAGTGCAGGGAGGGAAATCCACCTGCTTCCGGTCTGTGGGGGTTTGTGAACTAAAACCAAAGTCTTTTTATTTTTGTTGCTTTGATTGCTGTAACAGTTGAGAGAATTTAGATCCAGTGAACAAAATGACTCTCTTGAGAAATGACTCTCCCGGGAAAGCTGGTGACCCTGGTGCTTTGCACATTGACTATGTGGGCATTCTTTTCATGATGCTAGAGATTTCCTCAATTGGCCGGATCCTAAAACACATCCAGGCACTTTTAATGATACACACTCCTGAGTGCCCTGCTATACCATAGGAACCAAGACCTCCACGATTGAGACCTCAGCATTCGTGTTCTTGCACAAGCATTCTAGGTAAGCCCCATGACTGGATAAGTTTAAGAAACGCTACATTATGTGATCTTTCGTCCTGTTTTTATACTAAAAATACTCCTGGGCCATTTTCCGCTAGTCTCCTTCCTTTCTGTCTCCTTGGTCTTAAGGTAATCTGGTTAAAGGTGACCTGATTTTAAAAATATACATTGGTACATTATGTCAATAAGTTTTCCAAGAAAAGTGAAAGAGAAAGTAAAAGAAAATTGCATAATTACTAAGCAGACACCCCTAATTGCTTATGTGGAAGCCTCATAAAATATGTGATAAATAGGGCTGGGGATTTAGCTCAGCAGCACAGCGCCTGCCTGGCAAGCACAAGGTTGTCAGTTCGATTCCCGGTACGGGAAGAAACCACCCCCCCAAAAATGTGATAAAGTGTATTTTTAGAAATAAATTGTTTTGTGTGGAATCTAATGCCAATTCAATGCATGTTTTAAAAGTCTCTGCACTAAATGATTATTGTAAAAATAAATTTATGTGAATTGTCAGAAATTTATTCTGCAAGTGCCTAGTTTTTATTAAAGTATGAATAAAATTCATTAGCAATTTGAACTAAATTCTGATTGACAAGAAATGCAGCTGTGTCCAGCATAGTGGCACATGCCTGTAATCCCAGCACTCGGGAGGCTCAGGTAGGAGGATCACTGTGAGTTTGAGGTCAACCTGGGCTACAAAGTGAGCTTAAGGCCACCCTGAACTGCATAGTGAAACCCTATCTCAAAAAGATAAAAAAGAAAGAACAAAGAAAGAAAGAGAGAGAGAAAAAGAAAGAAAGAAATGGAGCTGTTCTATCTGATTACATTAACTGAGGAAATTGTCAGTGTATTAAGATCTGTTTCTACTTAGCTATCTTTCAATGCTGATGGTGTGTTTTCATGAATATGTATAGAAATTGTAAGGAAAGTGATTTTACAGGACAGTTAGATACAAACTAATGCATACTGAAGGATTTGGACAAATTACCCTGAGCAAATTTATGCAAGCATGCCATAGCACATCCATTTTCATGACAACTTTGTCTAGTTTGCAAGAGTTAAAGATTATCCATATATGTCTGGCACAGTCCATTTGTGCCTCCCCTTCTAACCCCACCCACAATATAATTACCTAGATCCATTACTTCTACAGACCTTGAGATGCTGATTCACAGAAAAATCACTTAACATTTTTGTTTATAAATGTATTTGTTTTTCCTGAAAGTGAACAAGGCTTATTTGGTTATTTTGTGGATATCACAGATTATAGTTCTATAATGCCTTGAAAACTTTTGAACAATTACGTGAGCAAGGTTTTGGTGCTTGACCAGGCAAGCTATTTGTTACTTACATAGATTACAAGCCAGCAGTGCCTGCTGGAAGTGGATAGTGAGGTGGTCCTGCAAACAATACCATCTGATGTGTGGACTCCTTGACTGTCCACCAGTAGCTGATACTCTGTGCTAGCATTAATTCATGTTCTTATATTTTTTAAACCCTCGCATCTTTCTTGTCTGTTTTCTCTTTTTTCATGCTGCATGATCTCTATAAAAACAGAAGACAATTCTGAAGTTACTTAGAACAGCAGTCTGTGTTTATGATCCAGCCTCTACAACTTTCCAACTTAACATTTTAATCCAGTGGAAGAAATTGTTTTCCACATTCTCAGATTTCCTAAAATTCTTCTTCCACAGTATTTTTCTTCCCTCTGTGGAAGGAAAACAATTCTTTCATCACTGTCCATGTCTAACAAAAACATATTTTTTACTACTTAAGCCTCCTACTTAATTTGGAAAAAACTTTATTTTGTGTTTACAGTTTGTTGCTGCAGGAATTTATTCTCCCTTTACTATTATATGATTGTCTCTGTCTTTTTTAAAGTGGTCAAAGCTTGGTCAGATATAATAAATGCAGAGAGATCATAGGAAGATTTTTCTGTCAAAGAGCATGTTCACAGGTCTGAGCAGGAAAGGTGAGAGCATACTCAGGGCGTTAGAGGAAGCCCAGTGGGTGGAAAGGAGAGCATAGAGAACTCCCACAGGGCAGACGGTCACACCATGTTGGGACTTTAGTCACAAACCAGGGAAGTGCCGTAAACCATGGAGTGGAGCTGAGTGATGCAATCCTGCTTGTGTTTTTGAAAGACCTCTCTGGCTGCAGTGAGGAAAATGGTGTGAAGACTTTGTAATGGAAGAGATGTGTGGAGTGGGAGACGGGAGAGCCACAGAGAGCTCCAAGTTTTCTGTTTGCCTTGATTGGATAGATGGTGTGGACCGTCCTGTGCTATGGGGCGTTGGAAAAGTACCAGGCTTGCGGACTGCTCGGGAGAGCCATGGCTGGGTCATACGGTTGTTGGATGTTTAGTGTTGTAAGAAACTGCTGGAATGTTTTCCAGAGTGGCTGTATCATTTTGCATTCCCAACAGCAAGTAATGAGGGATCTGCTTTCTTATATCCTCACTAGCATTTGGGATACCTTTGCAATTGTTTTTATTTAATTATTCTGATCCGTATCTAGCCATATCCCATTTTGTACTAATTTGCATTTCCCCAATGGCTGATGATACTAAACATCTTTTCATGTGTTTATTCACCATCTGCACGTGAACCCCTGCAAAATATCTCTTCATGTCTTTACCATGTTGGCTAACTGGATTATTTGATTTATTTATTTATTTACTTACTCACTTACTTACTTATTTTTTTTTACTGTTGTGTGTGTTCTGAGAGTTCTCTATTCTGCTATGAGTTCTTTGTCAGATGTGTGGCTTATAAATATTTTTCTGTCAGTCTTCAGGATTTTTCATCTTTTAGTAAGCACTTTCACATTGAAAAGTTTATTTCTGAGGAAGCTTAATTTATGAATTTTTATCTTTATGAATCATGCTTTTAATTTTACACCTAAAACCTTTATTTGGGAGCTGGGGATTTAGCTCAGCGGCACAGCGCCTGCCTGGCAATCGCAAGGAAGTGAGTTCGATTCCCGGTACCGGAAAACAAAACAAAACAAAAAAAAACCTTTATTTTATCCCCAAATTTACTCCTATGTTACCTTCTA